CTTTCAGTGTTTGAAATATGTTGTTCCAGGATCTTCTAGCTTTCAGAGTCTGTTGAAAGATCACCTGTTATCCTGATTGGCTTACCCCTAAATGTAATCTGCTTCCTTTCTCTTGTAGCTTTTAAAATTCTCTCCTTATTCTGTATGTTGGGCATCTTCATTATAATGTGTCTAGGTGTGGATCTCTTATGATTTTGCACATTCGGCGTCCTGTAGGCTTCTAGGATTTGGGATTCTGTCTCATTCTTCAAGTCTGGGAATTTTTCTCGTATTATTTCATTGAATAGATTGCTCATTCCTTTGGTTTGGAGCTCTATACCTTCCTGTATCCCAATGACTCTTAAGTTTGGTCTCTTTATGTTATCCCATATTTCTTGGATGTTCTGCTCATGGTTTCTTAACAGTCTTGCTGAGCTGTCTATGTTCTCTTCAAGTTGAAATACTTTGTCTTCATTGTCTTTTGTTCTATCTTCTAAGTGTTCTACTCTGCTTGTAGTATTCTCAATTGAGTTTTTAAGTTGGTTTATTGCTTCCTGCATTTCTAGGATTTCTGTTTGTTTGTTTTTTATAACCTCTATCTCCCTGTATAGTTGATCTTTTGCTTCCTGGATTTGTTTGTGTAATTCATTGTCGAAGTGATCTTTCATTGTCTGATTTTGCTGTCTAATGTCTTCCTTGATACTCCAGATCATCTGAAGCATGTATATCCTGAACTCTTTATCTGACGTTCCATCTGCTGCATCTGTTACCTCTTCTAAAGTTGAGTTGACCTGCATTGCTTGTGGTCCTTTCTTTCCTTGTCTTTTCATACTGCTTGCGTTTCTTTCTGCTTGTTGAAACTGTTGTGTTTTTGAAAATTTTTCCCCGTATATATTTATATTGCTCTTGTATAGTTGAAAAGTCTCCCTTGCAGGGTCGGGCGGCGGTCTGCCTACCTTGCAGGTGCGGGTGGTGGCTCTGCTCTGCCCCTCCTCCAATTGGTGTGACTTGTCTACCACACCCGCGGACCGCTGGGCCTGTTCCGGGCGCGGGTGAAGGCTCTGCTCTGCTCCTACTCCAACTGGGGTGACGTGCCTACCACCCCGGCTGGCCGCTGGGCCTGTTCCGCTGGTCGGTCGCAGGTCTGCCTACCTTTTGGGCATGGGTGGCAGCTCTGCTCTGCCCCTACTCCAATTGGGGTGTCATGCCTACCACGCCGGCAGGTCACTGGGCCTGTTCCGGTCGCGGGCGGTAGCTCTGCTCTGCCCCTACTCCAATTGGGGTGACTTGTGTACCACGCCGGCAGGCCACCGGGCCTGATCCGCCGGTCGGTTGCAGGTCTGCCTACCCTGCAGGCGCGGGTGGCGGCTCTGCTCTGCCCCCCCCCTCCAATTGGTGTGACTTGTCTACCACACCCGCGGACCGCTGGGCCTGTTCCAGGCGCAGGCGAAGGCTCTGCTCTGCTCCTACTCCAATTGGGGTGACGTGCCTACCACCCCGGCTGGCCGCTGGGCCTGTTCCACCAGTCGGTTGCAGGTCTGCCTACCTTGCAGGCGCGGGCGGCGGCTCTGCTCTGCCCCTACTCAAAATGGGGTGACTTGTCTGTCGCACCAGCAGGCCACTGGGCCTGTTCCGCTGGTCGGTCGCAGGTCTGCCCACCTTTCAGGCACGGGTGGCGGCTCTGCTCCGCCCCCACTCCAATTGGGGTCACGTGACCACCACACCAGCAGGCCACTGGCCTGATCCGGGCGCGGGCGAAGGCTCTGCTCTGCCCCTACTCCAGTTGGGGTGACGTGTGTACCACGCTGGCAGGCCGCTGGGCCTGATCTGCCGGTCTGTTGCAGGTCTGCCTACCTTGCAGGCGCGGGCGGCGGCTCTGCCCTGCCCCTCCTACCACGCCCGCGGACCACTGGGCCTGTTCTGCCGGTCGGTCGAAGGACTGCCCACCTTGCGGGCGCTGGTGGCTCCGCTCCGCCCCCACTCCAATTGGGGTCACACGACCACCATGCTGGCGAGCCACTGGGCCTGCTCCGGGCGCGGGCGGCGGCCCCGCTCCTCCCCTCTGGCTTGACGACAAAGCGAGAAAGACTCGGGTGTTTGTGACTCACCCTCCCTATCAGGAGACCAACTGTTTCTGTCGCCGCTGGTATTGATGAAGTTCTCTCCTCCGCGGCTTTCTGATGACATCAGATCTCTGCCATGTTGGTATCCCATGCGAATGGCAGCATTTCGTTCCCTTTGCCGGGTGACCAAAGCAACGGGTGAGTCCTGACCGGCCCTCACAAGCCCCGTCTCAGTTCCGTTGACAAGCCCCGTCTCAGTCCCGTTGCCACTGCCCACGAAGGCTCGGTTGGTATTTACCTCCACAGTACTCAGCAGGACCCGGACCGAGAAGCAGTTTCCGCGGGCTCCTTAGCCCTGGGCCAGAGCAGTTCCGGGAGCCGGAACTCGGCCGCTCCGTGCTCGGTGCATGCTGATAAGAGCAGGCTCCAAGAAGCTGTTTCTGCAGGCTATTTAGCACTGAGCCTGAGTAATTTGTCTGCAAGCCGCAGGTGAATGGCAGCCTGAAATTACCCGTTCTATGGATGAATGAGCTGCGATCAGTCGAAAACAGGGATGGTGACGTCAGCTCTCCAAGATGGTGGCCGCTGGCCTCCTCTGTGGTCTGACCGGTGTTGAGAACCGAATTGGACCGCTTCCTTCCCCCGTCTCAAACCCAGAATTCAGCACTGAGTACGGTGCTTGCACAGCTGGCAGAAGCCCACAGTAACTGCAGCGCTGTATCCCTGCGTCGCTATCTCCTCGTTTCCCAGCGCGCACCGCAGACTCTAGCCGCGGGGCGATTTGCCGAACAAGCAGGGTGACCCTCCGTGCGGACAAATATCTCGCGTTTGAGCCCCCATAGCTGATTCTCGTGCGATGGAAATCCTTCCTCCAGATTCCGGAGCACCCCACTTTTGCTGGAAATTCCTAACAAGATAGCCGTCCTGACTCGTCATTCTCCCGCAGAGTGACGCGGCACACGGGGGCAATGCACTCCCCTCGCCGCCATCTTCCGATGAGCCTGTATTCTTTTTTTAATTAGACCTTTATGTTTATACATAATAGTTGGATTCATCCTGACAAACTCATACATACATCATTGTTTGTATTCTTGATGACTGCCAATCTAACTGGAATAAGGTGAAATTTCAGTGTAGTTTTGATTTGTATTTCCCTAATTGCTAAAATTGTTGAACATTTTTTCACATATTTGTTGGCCATTTGTATTTTTCTTTGAGAAGTATTTGTTGAGTTAATTTGCCCATTTATTAATTGGGTTATTTGGGGTTTTGTTTGTTTGTTTGTTTGTTTGTTTTTGGTGTTAAGTTTTTTTTCTTTCTTTTTTTATATTTATATATAATAGCAGAATGCATTATAATTCTTATTACATATATAGAGCTTAATTTTTCATATCTCTGGTTGTATACATAATATACTCACACCAATTCGTGTCTTCATACATGTACTTTGGATAATAATGATCATCACATTCAACCATCATTAATTGCCCTATGCCCCCTCCCTTCCCCTCCCACCCCTCTTCCCTATCTAGTGTTCGTGTATTCCTCCCATGCTCCCACTCCCTATCCCACTATGAATCAGCTTCCTTATATCAAAGAAAACATTTGGCATTTGGTTTTTTGGAATTGGCTAACTTCACTTAGCAATATATTTCTTGGTGTTAAGGTTTTTTTTTTAGTTCTTTATATATTTTGGATATTAATCCTCTGTAAGAAGAGTAGCTAGCAAAAATTTTATCCCATTTTGTAGATTCTCTTCATATTAATCCTTTCCTTTTTGTGCAGAAGCTTTTTAATTTATACCATCCCATTTATTAATTCTTGGCATTGTTTCCTGAATTTGAGGGGTCCAGTTAAGAAAGATGTTTCCTGTGCCTGTGTGTTGGAGTGTTGACCTCATGTTGTCTTCTAGGAGTTTCGAAGTTTCTGGTCTAGTTCCTAGGTTTTTGATCTGTTTTGAGTTGAGTTCCATGCAGGGTGAGAGATAAGCATTTAGTCTCATTCTTCTACATATGAATAACCAGTTTTCCTAGGCCCAGTTGTCAAAAAGGCTATCTTTTCTCCAGTGTATGTTTTTGGCACCTCTGTCAAGGATTAGATGACTGTAAATAAATGGGTTTGTCTTTGTGTCTTCTATTTTGTTCCATTGGTCTACATGTCTGTTTTTATGCCTGTACCATGCAGTTTCTGTTACTGTAACTCTGTGGTATTTTTGAAGTTTGGCTGTGTTATAGTTAGAGCTATATAATTGTGCTAGACACATATTTATGATTCTTTAAACTCTTCTACTAAGCTATATGCTTTTTAAGGGTAAGAACTATACATCATCTTTAGCATATGCCTGTCACAAATAAATATCTAATGTCCTGGCCACTTCAAAGGGGCAAGACTAAGCAAGAAAGGTACTAGGCCCTTTCCCTGCTTTAAGCAGAACTTCTCTTTTACATATTAGTAATTTTGGATAATATTTTAGAGGAAAATTTCTCTTTTAAAATGGAGTTTGAAAATGACTGTTTAGTGGGTACACAATTTAGTATTGTGTAATATTATTTAGTCTAACCCTCATCATTTTACAGGACTGGAAAGTGAGACCCAGAAAGGAGATAAATATATATATATATTTTGTCCAGATCTTACAGCTATTCAGTGGTGGAATTAGAATTAAAACTCCCTTTCCTGACTGCTTAAATGACACTCTTTATAATATACTGAAGCATATGTATTATCAGCACCCATGAGTATTCCCCAAATTCTGCATAACCCCTGGTAATGTACATACTCAGTAAATGTGTATTGTATTAATTAATGAATGATCTTAATTACCTTTAAGCCAGGTCCAAATAAAAACTCATTTTCATGATCCCAATGAAATGTCAACTTCATAGAAAGCCTAAATTTGGCCTGTTCTAGTGCTGAGCCAGTTGTTATATATAACAAATTATTCTTTGTTAATTTTAGGATCACCTACTGTTACCAGCTACCACCCATAACAAGACCACAAGACCAAAAATGTCAATTGTATTACCAGCAATAAACATAAATGGTAAGTTGAAATTTCAGTTTATAAACAACATGAAATTCCTGTGCTTAACCAAGATTCTCTGGATTAATGGAAAGACATTTGAAGTGTTCAGTTGGGCAAGTATAACTCCATGCATTATTTTTTAAACATTTTCCCATGTTTTTCACAAAATGTTATTTTTAAATTCCATTGTTCCTATATTTTTAAAGAAAAAAATAGTTCTCTTTTATTTACAAAATTGGGAAACAGCATTTGACTGCTTTCTGTTGGGAACCTTTCTAGTCATACCTGCAGTATAAGAAGTCCTTGTTGCCAGGTGCAGTGGCTCATGTCTGTGATTTAGGAGGCTGAGGCATCAGGATCAAAAGCTTAAGGTCAGCAACTTAGTGAGACCCTGTCTCAAAAAGAAAAGGGGTAGGGCTGGAGATGTAGCTCAGAAAAGTCCCTGTTGTGTTCTGACAGTGATTTTGTAATTAAGTTTTTAGAATTCAAAACAGTTTTCTGTTTTACCTAAATGTTGACATGATTCTAGATCAAATAACAAAAGCCTATTTATGTGTAATCCGTAATATTGATGAGTTTGATATTGATAGCGTCACTATGGCATTTTGTTCTATGAGTACTGGGTATGAAACAGAATACAAATAATGCTATGATACTTTGAGGCTATTGAAAAAATGTCAAGGTGTAGTTTACTTGCTTTAATCTAGAAGGAAAATAAAACAAGAACAAAAATCATTGTCCTCCAAAGAGAAATTCCTGTAAGTAATATACAAAGTACTAAAGAACTGTGGTGAAGGAGAGATTACTTCCAGCTGGGTTCTTCATGAAGAAGAGAAATAATTTGCTTCCAGCTGTGTGTAATAAATGAGCACAGTATATTATTGACAATTTGCTCTGACACATCATATTAGGCTTATTGAAATAGAAGAGTTGGCCTTTCTCAAATCCATTTGTCCATTTATCTGGCATAATAAAACTACTAGTAAATTTTCTGTCTAGTGATTAGAATCTGATAGTCTATGAGGAAGACAGAACTAACCTGCAGTTGAATCAGCTGACATTTCTGATTAATGATCATGATTAAACCATCATATACCACTATAAAACAAACCACTGGATTTTGACAGGAGATTCTAGGTAAATTTCATAAAATTTTGTCTTTATAGAACAGATTTTTTTTGTATATTTAAGACCCTAAAGGACTATATAATTTCATGAGCTACATACAGACCGCTTAGTAGAAATATTTAGAAGGCAACCTATGGACATAAAATACAGTTTTTCTGTTAAAGCATAAAAAAGTTTTGACATTTACAGAGTCTTAAAAATATTCAGAAGAAATTTAAGGGGAAAAAAACTATGATATTAGGACAAACATCTCTTTTTCAGTAATGCCATACCTCTAAAGTTATTCATGGAATAATCATATTTTTACTTGAAGAAGGACTATATATTCCAAAATTTCTGTATCTATACTCCAAAGATTATACTTAGGAAATCTATTTATTTACATCCCATAGGTATCTGTTTCTGTGCTTGAACTATAAGAGTTAACTTTGTTCAGCTTGTGCTCAGAGAGGCTATTTTCTAAATTTCATCAAAGCAGAATTCACTTAATTTTATTCCTCTGATATTGAATTCTTATGCAAGAGAATGCCTGGTTTTGTTTTATAATAGCTGTCCATTTATATTAAGCCAAAAACAATAATATGCTGGATTCTTTTTATCTTGGCTAGGAGACTAACTTTTGAAGATGAGTTTTTCATGGATTTGGAAAATAAAGTCATTAGAGGATTATTTCCTTTTTAATCTGTTCCAGATTCTTTGTAAATAAATTTTTTAATATTTTTTCTTTTTAAGATATAGTAAACTATTAGGAAAATTGAGATTCAAATTTAAGAAAGCTTGATTGTGAACACACCAAGTTCACATCCTCAGCTTCTTCTCAGAACAGTCCCTTCACCTTTTTGCTCTAAGGATACTTCCCAAATTGGAACCTGATTTTCTTTCCCTACCTCATGTACCTCAGAGCCCATGGGGAGAAAGGTGGATCCTTGTTATCCACTATAGCCTCCAAATTATTTTTCTTTCTTTCTCCTTCAGTTCCCCTAACATCTTTCAAGTATATAATATCAGGGTTTTTTTTTTTTTAAGCCTTTTCATTGGTGTCACCTACCCGACCTTCACTGATGACTCTTCACCACTGCTTTTGACATCTCTTTGTGTAACTTGAACATCACATAACAGTTTCATCCAGTGCTCTAGCCTTCTTTGATAGTCTTTTATGCTCTGCCACCTCAACCTCCCATTCACATGGTTATAATCTAGACCTTATCATCATTATTATCACAGAAATGTGTGATCTTTGTGTCTAACAAATTCACTTAAAAAACAAAACAAAATTACTCTGATGTTGCAATACTGGAATTCTAACAGTGTTTTACTTATCTTCCTCTCCTCCTTTAAAAACAAGTGTTTTCATGGAAATGTGTTAATTATGCAGAATGCAAGCAGTTACTAGAAATGTTTTCTACACAGTTTTCTTCATGTACATCATAATTTCAATTTGTTTTTCACAATCTAGGGTTGTTGTTGTTGTTAGCTTTGCTGATAATTTTATTTCATAGTCACATTGACTTTGAGCTAAATTTCATTGGGTTTTATGACTCTCAGCTACATCGAATTACACATTTTGAATGGGTTCTTTCATATAGCAGTTTTAATGAATGAATGATGAGACAACATTGGAACAAGAAACAAAGGGTTAAACTTAGATGTGGTTTTGTCCCAGTTTAGCCATGTTCCTTAATGGAAATAATAACATGCTTTTTTTTTTTTCTGTGACAATTCTTGTTTTTGGTAGGAGGAAGAGTAGTTATTGAAAATAATAGTTAATATCAAAGCCATGAGTCATTTATGATCAACTTTAGAATACTTACAGATACACATATATTTTCCAAAACACTTGTATCGGGACCCTTTTCTGAAGCCAAACTCCCTCTGGGATCTTCTCACACATCCTACTCTTTGATGGTTACTTACTCTCTTACTTTAATATCTACATTCCAACTATTTTCTTTCCTCACAAATCTCTAGTCCTTTGACCTGACCACATTTTCTGTCTTTCACATCATTAATGTTCATGCATTCCTCATGATTTCCTAGCCTAGATTCCATGGTTTCTTACTATCAGCCCTCTTGCAGACTCCTCTTACTTCCTGCCTCCTATCTTCATAGATGCCACTTGCCCGGAAACCCCTCACCACCACCACCCTAGTTAAACCCATCTATTCTTTTTATGCCTGCTCTCAGTCAGCTAAAAATAACTGGAAAGTATCATCCAATCAGGACAAGCAGATTCACTTCAAATTCAATACTGCTATTCATTGCTACTAAATTTACTCTTCTCCTCCCTGAAGCACGATTTTCTCACCTTTTCTTCTCTAATCTCCAACATCCTTTCTTCCTCCTCCCCTCAGCTGATGAACCCACCAAAAGCTTCTTGGAGAAAATGTCATTATGCAAGAGCTATGTCATTTTTTCACTACTGCCAGCCTACCTGTATCTACACACACAAACTTTACTTTGCCTCTAATTTCACTGAAAGAAAAAAAAATCTCTCCTTTGGGGTCTAAATCCTGGCTTTTCTGCTTACCAAATATGTATTGTTAGGCAAATAAATTAACTTTTCTATATTTCAGCATCCATCTATAAAAGGAAATATTAGTAATATCTTCCTTTTAGTGTTGGTATGAGAATTAAAGTTCTTTAAATAGTACCTATTTTTTGGGTGAGCTGCTGTGGTACCACCATTGTCATTGTCATCATCATTGCCTCATGTAAAGTGACTCCTTCCTTTTTGGGCCCTAAATCTTAGCACTTCTCACAGTTTCGAGACTGCCCCTGCATTTATACCCTTTTTCTTCTAGAAGATCAATTTCTTTTTCTCTTCTGGATCATTCCCATCAACATATTAAATGTCTTAATATTACCTTAGGAGACTCCTTGACTCCACATCCTATTTCTCCACTACTCTTCATGGGAAAATTTTTGAAAGAGTTACTTGTACTCACTTCCTCCACTTCATTATTTATCTCTAATTCTCACTTCTGTTTACTCTTTATCAAGATTTTTCCCCTTCCATAGGGGAAATGAAATTGAATTGAAATTGAAATGCTCTATTAAAACAGTCATCAGTGACCAGTAAAAGGCACAGCTCCATTCTCATACTCAACTTCTCAACAATATTTGACAAAGACGCCTATTGTTTTTTTTTAGTCCCCCAAGTTCTTATCTTGAAAAATTTCAAATCTATAGAAAAGTTTAAAGATGAGTACAGTTAATATGCTGAGACACATTGCTTAGTTTTCACCAGTTGTTCACATTTTTCTACATTTGCTTTATCTCTATCTACACTCACATTTTTTAAAATCTACACTCACATTGTTTTAAACCTTGAAAGTAGCTGATCTCCTAACTCTTTATCCCTAAATATGTCTTGTACAAAAAGGACATTCTCTTACATAACTACAATAAAATGATTATAACATACATACACACACACCATATACACACACAATATATAAAGCTTTTTTATCATTCAAGAGCCAAAGATCATACATTACATTCATTTATCTCTTTCATGACATTTACATTTTAAAAAACTGGACTTATTGAGGAATGGTGTATTTATAATAAAACCTACCAGTTTTGTGTGTATCATTTAGTGAGTTTTGGCAAATGTAAATCATTGTAAAATCACCACTTCAGTCACAATATAAATATTTTTATTACTTCGAAAAGTCCCCTCATTCCCCTTTCCAGTCAGTTCCCTCTTGTATATATTTTTTTTACATTCCCTTCTTTACTGAAGCACTTCCAATTTTTTTAGGCTTTCATGATACCATGGTTTGTCTAGTTGCCCTCATATTTCTCCTCAGTCAGCTTAGCCAGTTTCTCCTCCTCAGAGAGAACAGGAATTTTATTTGTTATGTTTGCCCCTTATCACCATATCCTCA